CCAAGGCAAGCCATTAACATTTTTCAAAAACAACTTTGTTTACTGAAACTGTATTTCTTTGAAAATACTAAAATCTTTTTGGTATTTGAGATTGGTGTGAGGCAGCATCTGATGCTAAATCATAAGCTGTTCGTTCCAGAATTTATATAATTGGAAGTTAGAAAGACAAATTAACAAAAGAATTTATGGATATATTTTTTTCTAAAAAATGTTGACTAATAAAATACTGTAGTTTCATTGAACAAAGACTTAGTTGATGAAAAAATTGGGAAAGTGTTGATTCTGGGAAGCAGTTCTGCCTAGAACAGGAAATATAGGGCTTGCCTGAACAGAAGGAAAGAAATATGGTTTATATTGTATATAGATTGACAAGTTTTGATCGCTCAAAATGTATTAAATATTTGCCAGTTGTTGGTTATGCCTCACTATTCAGATCATTGTACATTCATAGCAACGTTACCTGTTATTCATGAAAGTATTAACTTACTTTATCATAGATTTCTGTGACTGATGATAACAAGAATGCTTGTTCTAAAAATGTTCTGCAAAATTAATGGAAATGGGCCTTTACAGCAGTAATTGAAGCATCAGATGGCTGTCTACATTCCTGTCCCTTCTGCTGGAAACTAGTTGTGTACATAGATATTTCATGTACTTATGGGAAAGGATTAAACATATTTATGTATAAGGATTATTTCATTATTTAACATATAATTTCATACGGGTAGTCCTTGACTTACAATAGTTCATTTAGCGACCATTCGGAGTTAACAATGGCACTGAAAAAAGTGACTTAGGATGTTTTCCTTATAGTCATTGCAGCATCCCCATGGTTAGGGGATCCGAATTCAGAGACTTGGCAACTGACTCATATTTATGACTTGCGGTGTCCCAGGGGTCACATGTTCACCTTTTGTGACCTCCTGACAAGCAAAGTCGATGGGGACACCAGATTTACTTAACAGCCATGTTCCTAATTTTAAGAACTACAGTGATCCACTTAACTGTGGCAAGAAATGTTGTAAGATGGGGCAAAATTCACTTAGCAGTTTTGCTTAGCAATAGAAATTTTGATCTCAATTGTGGTCATAAGTCAAGCACCTGTATACTTCAGTTTAAATTGATAGGGACAGATCATTCCATAAAATGTATAATCAATAAAGAAACAGTAGGAAAACGGGCTAAAAGAAAAGTTTTTCAATAAACGACTGTAGCACTAAAACACTAAAAAAAAAACAAGCACTCAGCTTTTTCCCAGCCATATAAAGAATTCTACTTGTAGGTGAAATATTGTCATCTTCACAGCAGCACCGATAATAATCTTGATTTTGAGGTCAATTTTGGTGGGTCAGTGGTTTATGCAGGCAAAGAACCACCTTCAAAAATCCTAGGCTCATAATAAGACAGTAAAAGTCAGAATCAGTTCTGTGAATTAACACTGCAAATTAATTGGTAGCCACTTGGAAATGCTGCAGAATCGTGTAAAGCCATAATGTGGTCACTTTATGTCAGTTTAGTGTGTTGTTCAATCTTAAGCTCTAAAACCCATGGCAGTTTGATATGAAAATGACAATAGATTTCATGTGTGCCAAACAATTATGGCACACAAATTATGGCACACAAATAGCTATTTCAGTTGAAGCTGGCTGAAATGTTCAGATTCCTCAAAGATAACTCCTATAAAGCAGATAATAATTCAATCATTTGCTGTTGTGTGGACCTTAACCTCAAAAGAATGTGCCTAACCACAACTGAAGTTCAAAGAGTACATTCCAATCAAGGTGCATGTAAACTTGTATTCCTTGGGTGAGCTTTTTGGAACAGGTGAATTCAAAATTTCCTGAGTCATTCAGTCTTCCAACAATAAGGTGTTATAGCTTATATTCAGAAAGGTAACCAAGCTAATCTGTTACGATACTTCAGTAAAATCCCTACAAAAGCTCTTCTTAGTTATAGTTATGCTGTCCTTTGATATGGTGAGAGGCAGGAAGGGAAGGGACCATGTGGGCAATACTGTTTTGCTGTTCCATTATCTTTTCATGACTCAATAAATGCCAACAACATGGCAACCTGGTCATGTACCTTGATGGTCCTTGATGGTCTGTAAATAATCCAAGATGATCACCCTAATTATATGGCTATGGAATATATAAGGGTAAGAGCTCTTTAAAAAGGTCACTTCATCAGTTTACATTATTGGTTGCACACCTTAAAAATGTTGCCTCCAAAGGTAATAAATCAACAAGCATAGTCAAAATCAGATTTCTTGGGTGTATAATATCTAGTGACTACAATTCAATCCAAAATCATATATGCTTAAAATGTTGAGCTGTAGTCACTGGATATTGGAAGTCTTGCTATAGTAGACTGGTAAGATCATTATTACAGTATTTTGTCATATATTGACAAAACTGGTAGGATGATTATCACAGTATTTTATACATTGAAGGCCGGTTTGGGTATATCATAAGTCACGACTTATGCATGTTGTCTCATCTTAAAATACATTCTCATGTATAAATACATAAAATAGTACTTTTTATTGTTCACCAGTAATAGCATTGATTGCAGTGGTTGGTAGTTGTCAATCATTGTCCAGATGGTTGAGGGTTCATGAAGACAAATATGTTTGACCAGAGCATGAAAGAAAAAAAAGTGTATGAGTAGTTAACATTCAAGCAGCATCTTCCTTGTACTCAATATCAGAATTCAAACACTAGTTCACTTAATAGAGTAGATCATGTTTTTACTTTTGAACAGAGACACCTTTTTGAACTAAATGCAAGAGAAGGTTTGGGTTTACACATAGAAACAGATTTTTAGAGTGTATTTTAGGATCTCAGCAATAGCTATTATGTTGTTTCTGTGTATGCACAGTGCAACAATGAAGCTGCAAAAGCAAATATATTAAATGTCTTTGTAGTCCCAACAAATACTGAAGCTGAGCTAGTGCGGGCAATTCTAACTATTTTAGAAAAATAAGTTTGTGGTTATAATGAGGGGTAATGGTGAAAGAAAGTGAGTAGATTTTAGATTATTATGCTTAAAAACATAAGACCAAATCTGCACATTTATAAAAAATCATAAATATAATTTCTATATACAATTATTTCAGTCTCTTTGCAAATGTTTTTATGTAGAAGTTAAGTGTATACATAAAATTGTGCCATAAATGTCCATAGTCAATAAAAGATAGTTTTATAGTAAATTGTACATAAGACATAGAACAAGTAATTTCTTACGTTCATCTCTTGGCACAATGTATTTGAGGAATAATTTATTACATATACAGCTTGATTTGATATAAGGCTACTCATTTTAAGAGAACAAATAATCCTGTCTGTTTGAATTTGCTATTTTAGTGTGCTTATGATGCTAATTATTAAGTCACATATACATTGAATAAGATGTTTATTTCTGTTTTATTTCTTTCATGCTTTTCTCAAAGGCTGCTTTAAATCTGCAGTTCAGGACTAACAGCAAGACTGCCAAAAGGTCTTTAAAAAAAAGAAAAATTCAACATTCTTGTTTTTTTTAAAAAGGGAAGTTTTACCAGGAAGAATTTTAGCTCAGTAAGGTGCAACAGTGGTGGCACTGATATGAAATTAAGTTTAGTACAATAATATAATGTACCCCTTAAACGAATGAATAAACCAGAAATATTTGCAAATTTCTTGGGACACAGTCTCAGCCATAAATAACATTTCAGAATATAAAATATGTGCATATGTACCATAATATAAAAATATACGAGTATTTTAAAGAATGGTAAGACAAGTTTGAAGCATCCACATGCTTTACAGATAAAGCATCTTGGATAAAATCTTGATGTCTGGTAACTGATTTCAGTGTGATTCAGAAGTGGCTTGCAATTTCTACTATTGGGGATACTTTTTCAACTTCCAGTCTAACCTTCACAGAAATTTCATTATTTCCGCAGGGAATGTTAATTAAACGAAAATTTTTGTGGTATCTTAAAGGCACAAATTATAGCATATGTTTTAATGATTGGTCAAGTTCATTTCTAGACCAAAGTATTCACAAAACCTGAAAGCTAGAATTTGTATATCTCAAATGAATCAAGTTAATTGTCTAAAAATTTCTTTCTAGTAGTAATGTTATTAAAAATTACAATTACTGTGATAAAAAAATTAGTAGAAATAAAATAATAGGTATAGAAAAAAGGAATATAGAAAAGTTGTGTATGTGTAAGAGAGACTTCCCTCTTTGTTACAATAATTATAAGCAATTTTAATAACATACCTCTTAAAATGCAACAAATGATCTCTTCTTTCCATATCCATCTTTTATCGATGACAAATCCTTAAAAATACTCATCATTTCAGTCCTGATCAGCAAAAGTCCATTAAGGGTTGCAAAAGAAACAACTTTGTCTATTTAATCACAATAAACAGAACAATTTTATATTCCTTTCTTTTAACAATCTTGTTCATTAGTCCCCTCAGGTATCCTAAAATTTGATTTTTATTTAGTTCTTTGCCTCTACACAAATTTTTCAAAGCTTTAATAAGACACTTTTGTAAATCCAATATAGGAAGATTACCCAAGTAACACTCTTGGTTTGCTATTTGTAAATCCCTTTCAGTTATTAAGACATCAACCAATTTCCTTTGTGTATCTGGTGTAAATTCTTTTTTTTCCACTTTCAGATCAGTCTCAATCTTGTCCAATAAAATTTGTTCCTCTTTCATAACTTCTTTTAAACAAAGTGCATGTATAGACTCTTAAAATTAATTTTGGAACCATTGTTCAAAATTATTCTTCAATATGTTGAATGTTAAAATGTTTCGCACTATTTCAGGGGTGTCAAACACAACACAGCGTCACGTGTCATATCAGGAATTTTTTCCTCTTCACTAAACCAGGCATGACACATCCAGCCTGTGGGCCATGAGTTTGACAGCCCTGCTCTATTTGTAAGTCAAATTTAAGTGTTCCCCTTTAATTGTAATCTTTAATTCCTTCTAGTTTCCTCTAACACTCATCCTTTTCCTATTTATTCTAGAATTTTTTTTTAGGTTCTTGCACTTGCATTTAAAACTTCTTTCACTAAGAATTTACGGTACTATTGATCCAAATGTTCCTACCATAATAGCTGAAATGCAGTTAGCAACTGATTTCTGAAAGTAATTAGAAAAGGAAGCATGGGGATGCTGTATCCTTCCAAAGACTCCAGTTTAACAAGGTGGTTATTCCCTCATCTCCCACACCTGTATTGCAGTCTCCTTGCAAGGAGCATTGTTGGGCAATCTGAAGTTTTGTCCTTGCCCAGGGAGGAATTTTGAGTGGGTCTTATTGACTTTTCATTCTGCCATCTTGTTTTTCTCTCATTTCATCTCTGGAAGAATTTTCTAAACATTGTTGTTTATAAAGGAGTGAATACCGAAACCCAGAACGATAGTGATTAGATAAGCTAGGTCTGCTCTTTCAAATAACTAGGCATGATGAACCTCTTTCCATATCTTTATAGACAGGGCACTAAATTTGCAACTGTTCTCTTAATCAGACTGGCAGCACTAAAGACACCAGACTTTAAAAAGAAATGGCTGTTAAGGAGTGTATTTCAGCAGATTTGGGATTTATGTTTTGGATTTATATTACTTAGTTTAAATATTTCAGGTAAATGTGATAGCTTTACATTTTTGGATTAATGTTAATTATGTATTTAATATATTGATAGTTGTATGATAATTTGTACATAGTGTACCGTAATGGCACCCTTGGAATAAAATATACTAGGGAAGGAATCCAGCCAAGCAACTTGCCGTCTCAGTGTTCTTAGCTTTGCATCCTAGAACCCTACGATGATTATACTTCTATATTTAGCTTCAATTTCAGAATGCAGAATTTTCAGCTTGGGGGGGGGGGGCTAATTTGCAGGTATAGGATTACCTGGCTGAACTCAATCTCCAACTCAAAAATTCTTAGGAAAGTGTAAATGCTTATTTCTCTCTTTTTTGCACAGAATATGGAACAATATGTACTGTATTGTTAAAAATCTGATTGTGTAATACCAAAACACACCACTTGTAATCTTAGACTAGAAATGCTTCAGTGTATATTGCTACTATAAAGTAATTCAGTTCCGCAAGCAACAGCTTGATATTTTAATTATAACTTTTTACCAGTTCTTCAATGTTTATCATAATGTAAGAAAGTCCATAATTTCACAACAAGAAATACTTTGATTAATACTATTGCAAATGTTCTCTGTTGTAAAAGCAAAAGTCCTATCATGTACAGATCGCACAAATGTTTCACATAGTACAGCCACAATCTGGTAGATAATATAGTGATCTGTAATATTCAAGCACCAAGAATTCCCCGCCATCCCCAAATGTCTCTTTAAGGACAGCAATCCTGTAATTTTTTTCAAATACCTCTGATTAAGAAAAGGGAAGCACAGTTGTAATGCATCTATTTTGGTGAATACACAGAATTACTGGTCTAAATGTTCTTGATACAATTACATTACCTTCATAATAAAGCAAATCAACAAAGAACTACTTCTGTTTTCTGTGTATTCAGGATGCTTTGGAAAATGTTTATTGATCTCAATCTTAATTGTTCCATGGTCTTAAAAATATATATTTTTTGAATACTCAGTGGGACCTCTGACATATATCTTGAACAGAATTTCTCCCTACTATATATAGTTGTATGGCATGTTATTTTATCTATCTATCTATCTATCTATCTATCTATCTATCTATCTATCTATCTATCTCAAATGGTTACACGAAAGCTCTTGAACTAACTTGTCCTTCTGGATCACGATGAAAATATTTAGAAGAGTTTATAACAATTACTGTGAGAAGTTGTACAAGGAGTCAAGTCCAGAAGTAGATTGGTCAAACAGGTCTAAGACAAAATGTTTGATGTAAACCAAGAGTTTTCCATGTTTTGCCAATGATGTACAGTTTTAGTTCATCTTGTGACACACAAAACTGTCCTCTACCTCATGTGATTCAAAACGAGACAGAACAAGAGAGAGATTTTGTACAGTTTTAGTAAAAAAAACAATGCATTTAGCTGTTCATTTAATTTACAAATTTTGGATTATATTTATTAAAATATGACATACTGTGCTCTTTGCTTATACCTCAAATGTATTTTGTGCAGTTTTCCATTTTTCATGCATTGTAAATATCTTGTATAGTTTGTGATCCACATTCAAATAAACAATTCAAATCAACGACTTCCATCTTTCTTATCCTTTGTACATACAGCCTTGTGAATTGAATGTTTGTTCCAATTATTTCTCAATGCTAGTTTTGTACACTGACAATGTGCCATTCACTGTAGTCTTTATAATGGCATAAATTGGAAGACCTCTATGGCTATCTTAAGTTGAAAAGCATTGCTTCCCATTGTATTTATCCCTGTTGGGGAAAAAAAAGTGGGTTTTTGAAATAATAACAAAAGCTCTTCTACGAGTCACCCCTGGATTCCCATCATTTTGTTTGCAAAGCTAGGAAAATTAAATTTGGTCAACACAATGACAGGTCAGCCTATAATTCTGAACATGCCTTCATCCCTCATCATTGTTTAGAATATTGGAATATATAGTCCTGAAGAGAAGATAATTATGCAGTTATCTTCACTCCAAGCAGTTGAAAATTGTTTTGCCATTTAACATAAGGATTTGATGATAAAGGTAGTATCAGGGTTCCAAGTAATAGATCCATATCAAGCAAAACTCCAAGGCAGGTAGATTCCACAAAGAATAGCTTTATTGGATGTATCATTGGCACATATCTGGTGAAAACTGACTGAAGGTTCCCATGGTTTTCACTTAATTAAAAGTAAAATTTTGTCACTGTCAAAACAATCAGTCACATGGTCCAATCATGGTGCTGTCTAGTTGCCTGGTGACATCACTCCGCTTTCCTCTGACCAGGTCTGAGAATGTCCTTGGTTCCCAAGAGAAAGTATTTTGTTTTGGCTATAAAACCCCAGCTATCCCCCCTTCCTATCTCTCAGCTCCAGTGTGGCAACACTGAAGCTGTCAAGATGAGCTTCGGTCAGGACAGCTTCAGGGTTGACTGGTAGGTCTCACGTAATGACAGGTCACTCGGTGTCCATTCTAAGTTACATCGGATTTCCCCCCCCCCCCACATAAAAAAGGGTACTTAAGACCCAGGTTTGTATTTCTGACATTCATCCGCCTCTCCCATTGTCACATGATCACATTTGGGGCATTTAGCAACCAGCCCATAGTTATGCCAATTTGTAGCATTCTCGGAGATCATGTGACCACAATGTACAATGTTTTTTTTGCTGGAAACTTGACACTTACATCCAGTTTCCTACAAAAAAAGCCCCACCTGTCATTAAGCAAACAATGGGTTTGCTTAATGACCATGACATTTGCTTTACTGCTACATTCACTTAATGACCATGGCAAAAAAAAAAAAAAAAAGCAAAATCAGGTTGATCACCTGATCCCTTTAATGACTGACTTGATTTTTAATCACAATTTGGGGTATCAATGCTGATTGTTAAACACAAGGACTACCTCTAATGAACTTATATCAACTCCTGTTGGACCAACATGCACCCAAAGTCTTCTGCATACAACTGAGCTGATCAACCTGGAGTGGATTTACAGAGATAGAGAGAGACAGGTAGTCTTCACTGAGTGCCTTATACAGTGCCTGTTCAAAGTAATGACAGTGCTAAAAAATAACTTTGAACCCTTACTTTTATGACTGGTGCAATGAATATCCAGAATGATTGGTCTAAATGTTCTTGGTGCAATTATATTACCTTCACGATAAAGCAAATCAGCAATGAACAAACTTCTATTTTCTGTGTATTCAAGGATGCTTTGGAGCAGGGGTTGCCAATCTTTTGGACCTCAGGGACCACCAAACTCATAATTTAAAATCCCGCGGACCAGAGACCCTGGGAAAATCTCCAAAAAAGTCTGCAGGAAAATCCCCCACCCCGTTTTCCTACTAATCAATCATTCTTTATTTGGGATCACAGGATACTGTCTCCACCTTTGTTCTCAGGGGCAGAGAGAGAAAGAGAGACTTTTGGCTTCATGCAAGGAAAGCAGCAGAAACAGCAGAAGTCTTTCTTTCTCTCCCCCAAACTTCGCCAGAAATGAATCTTTGAGACTTGTCGCGCCAGCACAGCCTCTTCGACAGTGGTGGGATTCAAATTTTTTTTACTACCGGTTCTGTGGCCGTGGCTTGGTGGGTATGGCAGGGGAAGGGACTGCAAAATCTCCAGTCAGAGGTGGGATTTGTACGTTCTCTGAACTACTCAAAATTTCCGCTACCTGTTCTCCAGAACTGGTCAGAACCTGCTGGATACCACCTCTGCTCTTGGATCAGGATGCTTTCAGGGTCCCAAAGACTCATTTCTGGCAGAGTTTGGGGAAGAGAAAGAAAGTCTTTTGCTGCTTTCCTTGCATGCAGCCAAAAGCAGAAGAAGAAAGAAGCGGAAAGAAGCCCCCTTTGCCCTTTCCCCCCTCCTCTCACTACCTCGTGTTATTCGCAATGCAAGCGACGCAAGCCTTGTGTTCAAACGAGCCATGTGGGTGGCACAGCCTTGTGTTCTTGTGCAGCCTGGATTAATTACTTTGGGGGTAACATTTCTCTGTGGACCACCAAAATTTTCTCACGGACCACCAGTTGTCCCCAGCTCACTGGTTGGCAACCACTGCTTTGGAGAGTGATATTGACCTCAATCTTAATTGTTCCACAGTCTTGAAAAATACATATTACAATCATGAATGTCATTCATGTAAATTGCAACTGGCACACATTTCTGCTTGAGACAACCAGAATTAATACTGTAAGTACGTGAGGCAGAAGTAAAACAGTAAAGCATAGTCAAGTGATTTTTCACTTACCAACCTTGGCACAACTTAACAACCAATGAAGTAAGATTGTAAGCCCAATTGTAGTCACGTGATTTCTCTTCTCAGTGACTGTGTCAGTCCCAATTGTGGCTGCTAAGTGAGGATTACCTTTATATAAATAAATCAGCCTTGGTACATTCAAAATGTACGGATTTTATCTTACACAATTTCCAGCAGTGGCCATATTGTTGGGAAATTCTGGGAACTAAGCACACAGGGAAGTGTGCCCAGATTGGGTAAGGCTAAAAGAAGCCTCAGGAGGCATGCATAAGCGCATCAACGTGCCTACCGTTCCTGTCCTATTGTTTCTTTTTATTTTTCTTATATGTATCCATTTCATGTATTCATAACTATGTTTATACTTATACCTGTTGTCTTATAATTGCTTGACAAAATGAATAAATAAAATACATAAATAAAATGGGTACTGATTGATGGTTCTTCCTGCTCATGTAAGGAAAGAAATTCTACTGAGTGAAGTATCTACTCTGCTTTTCCTATTTGGCAACTTTGCCTTTTCTCTTGAAAGAGATTTTTGAATATTCCAACTCCCCAGAGCCAAGGAAGATGGAAAGCCCACAAGGGACTTGATTCTGGAACCAAGTTTCTTTGTTATCAAATGAGATCCTGGATCTATCATGAAGGGGTCACGTAGCTATTTCATCTTTCTGTAACAATGTGGTTTTCTTTTTGATATGGCAGGAGAAAAATAGCGAGAAAACTTTCTCTCTGTTTGAAAAACGTGTATAAGTGGAAGACAATGAAATAAGGACTGTTTTCCCTGTTGCCTCTTCTCCAATGCCCAGGTTAAAGTCTGTGAAGGAGGCAGAAGGATTGAAGTTGAGGACAGGCACACAGAGAGAAAAATATTGATTGCATAGATTAGCTTTTGTTATCTTTTCATTTTCTAACAGAAGATTGAGGCACATGTATGTGAGATGAGTAAAACTGTAAACTTAGGGATGGTTTCACCTGCTCCCCCTACCCAGTGGTGGGAGTCAAAATTTTAAACTACCAGTTCTGTGGGCGTGGCTTGGTGGGCGTGGCAGGGGAAGGATACTGTAAAATCTCCAGTCAGAGGTGGTATTTGCTGGTTCTGCAAACTACTCAAAATTTCCACTACCGGTTCTCCAGAACTGGTCAGAACCTGCTAAATACCACCTCTGACTTGCACCCACAGTGCTCTCCCAATACAGTCTTTCACATGTTTAATTGTATGTCATTGTGAGTTGCCAAAAAGTCAAGGAAATATGTCAAGCAACCTGCTATGCAATGTGGAATGCCATACCTCAAATTGCCACCAGTGGTCGCTACAGGCACGTTTTTATTCACAAAAGGAAAAATTCTAGCTTGAATGCAAAGTGGATTCTATTACCTTTGGCTTTGCTTTCCGCTCTCTGAAGATTTTTTTTTTCACCTCTGATGTTAGCAAACAAGTCTTTCAGCTTTTGATTAAAATCTCTCCTGAATATGAAAATAGAATATTAAAATAGACTAGAAGACCTCCAAGTTCCATTCCAACTCTGTCATTCTGAAACTCATTCTGAGAATGTACTTTTAATTGTTTATTCCAGGGTTATGAATTGACCTTAAATCTGTTCTTCCCCTCTCCATAACCTTTAGGATTATTGCAAAGGTGTCAGACTACTCAGACTGTCAAACTTGAGATTAATTATCGCAGTACAATTGCATAAAAGCCAGTTTATCAAAAGACACAATCCCTAAGCTGCGCCCATCACTAAAATATATCCCACCTGTAAAATTAGCAATCTTAGCTCTGCATGGAGTTGTAGAAATGAATAAAGTAATGTGTAGAGGCTTAAGGCATATGGCTGGCTGCAACCTTTGCAAATAAGATAAATCAGCCCATCCATGGGGTGCTGTCAGAGTTATTCTGGGTGCCTGAAACTTCTTCCAAGCCAAAAGCATCAGATTCATCCTTAAAATCCCCCCAACTTCACCCAATGCAGAAAAGAGACTGAAAATTCCCACCAATCCTTCTGCTGTACTCCGTCTATTCCAAAAGGTGAAAATATGAATCTAAGCACCTGTATTTTATCCACCTATTTGCTGCATCAGTTTTCTCTTTAAAAAGTATAAGGGTGTGCTTGCACGTTGTAGAAAAAAGACTCTTCAGAGAACAGTAATAAGCTGGTGTTTTGTGTCTTCTTTTGAAAAGATTCATTTCCTCTCATTCATGTTTCCCGAATCTTTCCTCATTGAGTTTTCTAACTTAGGGTCAGGCCTTGTTTAAGCTTGGACCTAAATGTGCACTCTCTTGTCTCATTTGCCTTCCTGTGTTTGCTTTTCCCCCACGGTGTGATTGCAGGAAGTTTTAAACAAAGGGAAAAGAAGAACAAAACTTGGCACATTTGGAGCCACCTCCCTCTATCTGCGTGGGAGCAGACTCCTCCCAGGGGCTGGGCTGACAGATGCCAAGCATCTCCATCCCAGCAGATCTCATTTCAGTGCCTTTAGCTGACCACTTACAGTCAGACCTTTGCCTTGTTGCTTGCCAGTTTTTCAGTGGTCAGCAAGCTTAGGAGAAGGATGGTTGCTACTTGCCTGCATCTTACTGGGGTTGTGGCTAGCTTTGTTGGTTGGATTGGCTTGATTGTGGCCACTTCCACAAATGAATGGGTTGTGACTTGTGGATACACCATCACCACTTGCCGGAAGATGGATGAGTTAGGGTCCAAGGGACTGTGGGCTGATTGCGTCATGGCAGCAGGTCTGTATCACTGCAAGCCACTGGTGGACATCCTCATATTACCAGGTATGGATTATCCAGCAACTCCCAACTCTGACTCCCAACTCAAACCAAACCCCACAGTTTTCAATGCTGGTTTATTGTATTTTTAGATCGGACTTCTTAAGGAATTTGAGGATATTTGGTAAGATTGCTGAAAAAATTTCAGACATTGTTCCAAAGATTTTACAGGCTATGTTTCAACCTGGAAAATTATAAAGAATTAGAACAGACAAAAAAGGAATAATATATGGGGAATTTTAGTTATGTTTGTTTAGAATCCTAATAATAACAGCAACAAATGGAGGGTTAATCTTTTATGGAAAAGGTGCATTTGAAATTATATTTGAATAAACAAAAAGAGATAAATTTGTGAAGAAATTTATGAAGTGAGGACATCAATAAAACCCTTAATCTCTGCAAGATAATAGAATCACTTCTTCTTCTTCTTCTTCTTCTTCTTCTTCTTCTTCTTCTTCTTCT